TAGTTTTTACTGCTTGGGTATTCCTATTAGTTAAATGCTGCCATGATTAGCCAGGAATAGGGAAAATGTATCCATACTTACCGTAATTTTCTTTTCCTGGCTATTATTCATACCGTGTTTCTCCGAAAATAAGACCGGGTCTTATATTAATTTTAGTCACAAAAAACACACTAGGGCTTATTTTCAGGGTAGGGCTTATTTATTTACGGTACCGGTATGTACATTGAACCCCCCCTTTAATTAATCCACCCCCCCTTTAATAAATCCACCCCCCTCTAATTAATACAGCCCACCCTTTAATTAATTCACCCCCTCTAATTAATCCAGTCCACCCTTTTAATTAAAGGGGGGTGAATTAATTAAAGGGTGGGCTGGATTAATTAGAGGGGGTGAATTAATTAAAGGGTGGACTGGATTAATTAGAGGGGGGTGAATTAATTAAAGGGGTGGTGAATTAATTATTCATCCCCCTCTAATTAATCCAGCCCACCCTTTAATTAATTCACCACCCCTTTAATTAATTCACCCCCCTCTAATTAATTCAGTCCACCCTATAATTAATTCACCACCCCTTTAATTAATTCACCCCCTCTAATTAATCCAGCCCACCCTTTAATTAATTCACCCCCCTCTAATTAATCCAGCCCACCCTTTAATTAATTCACCACCCCTTTAATTAATTCACTCCCTCTAATTAATCCAGCCCACCCTTTAATTAATTCACCCCCCTCTAATTAATCCAGCCCACCCTTTAATTAATTCACCCCCTCTAATTAATCCAGCCCACCCTTTAATTAATTCACCCACCCCACCCCCTTTAATTAATTCAATTAATCCCAGACATAAAATATCTAGCGGTACTCACATTTCAAAGATTCCTTGCCGAGTCCGACCACTGGGAGCCTTCCGCTGAAGATCCGTGAAGGCAGACTGACGGCGCTGCAAAATGTCGTCATCAAGTTGCTCGACGCTCCTCCTACGGCAGAAGAAGGAAGTCTCGCCGCAAAGGTACAATGCCTAGGTCTTATTTTCGGGGTAGGGCTTATATTGCAGCCCACCCCGAAAATCCGACTAGGGCTTATTTTCGGGGTAGGGTTTATTTTCGGGGAAACACGGTAGCAGCATTTAAGGTTCCCTCCCACTTTGGGGACATGCTTGTTACTTGACTGAGGAACTAGGGCTGACTAGGATCCTTATATTCCTGACCACTTAATTTTTTTATTAAGTTTTTCCTGTCCTATTGGCTAGAGGGAGGAGCTAACCCATTAGTTAAATGCTGCCATGGATAATAGCCAGGGAAAGAAAATGACAGTAACTATGGATACATTTTCTCTATTTAACTGCACATTGATCTTTTTTTTTTTTTTTAAATTGCAGTTATTCAGCACATTCCAGTCATAACTAGTCGGGGAAAAAACTCTGAATATATTTTATGCATGCAGTCTTGGAGGTGAAATAATGTTTGTCATATTGGCCTTAGAGATAACAATATATATATGCTTGTGCATTGTGCTTGGGGAAGTATAGCTGATTCACTGCGTGTGGGATAAAACAATTACCTCCTCTGTTATGCTGAATTGCATACAATATCCATTCGAACCTGACACGATTCACAGACAGGTGCATTGCGTAATGTTGAGATTTTAGGTCTGACACTGAAAACAATGCTTTGACTGAATTTTAATTAAAACAATATGATCATTAACACTACTTAATATATATACAAGACCCAACAATATACAAGATCTTGATAAAGACCCAGGAGGGTTGAAATGTTGATGTGATGTTAATTTGAAATACATGCTGGAAAATTCAGAGAGCGTGCTACTGTTCTTTACTCATATATATACACTCACACAGTGCATTCAAAAAGTATTCGGACGCCCTCATTCCCCCCTCCCCTACATTTTTATATTGCAGCCTTATGCTACAATTGTTTTAAATTATTAATTTTTTTTACTTCAATCTACACTTAATACTCCATAATGACAATGTAAAAAATCAGATTTGCTTACACCACTGCAAATATATTAAATAGAAAAATGGAAATATCGCTATGACTTAAGTATGCAGACCTTTTACTCAATACTTATGTAAGCACCTTTGGCAGCAATTACAGCCTCAAGTATATTTGGGTATGATTGAAACAAGCTTTGCACACCTGGATTTGGGCAGATCCTGTCAAGCTCTGTCAGGTTGGATGGGGAACGTTGGTTGGCAGGAACTTTCAGGTCTCTCCAGAAATGTTCAATTGGGTTAAAGTCTGTGTTCTGGCTGGGTCACACAAGGACATGTCCTTAGGGTCATTGTCCTGTTAGAAGGTTAACTTTCAATCCAGTCTCCGGTCTTTAGTGCTCTGGATCAGGAGTCAAGGCTGTATTTAAAATTGGTTGGACCCTGGATTTGCTTGGTTCCTCTGGACCCTGCCCCCCCCTCCACCGCTTGCAATCATGCCCTCCACCCCAACTAAAGTAGAGAGATGCAATAATTTTTTGGGGTCCCCCATCGCAAGGGTGACCAAAAGGTAGATCCCCATCTGCTATGCAACTCCAACAATGCATTGACAGCTGGGACTCTACCATTTACCCATGTTTGTAGGTTTGTATTTAGCAGTGCGCAGTGTTTGAAGCATGTTTTTGTATAGAGTATGTTTGTGTAAATGTAGGAGTGTGTGTTTGTATGTGCTATTGGCATTTGAACGCAGACATGTATTTATGTGTAGTGTTGTTTTTTGAATGCAGGGGTGTGTTTATATATAATGTTGGTGTTTAACACAGAGATGTGTTGGGGGCAGGGCCTGACCGCCAAGCAAGCAGGACGCAGGCTGAGGGAGCTCCTCAGATAATCCTGTGATATAAGCTCATAAACTGAGAAATAATTAGTTTGAGCAGCTGAAATCGCGTCAAGACTTGTGGAGACGGCATTGACAATCTCCTAGACTAACTTGACACGCTTTGCTCAACGTTTGAGGGGCCTGAAGCTCCTTGCTGCCTGCCATCTGATCTAGCGCGGGAGACGCGGCCAATCTCCCGTCTTATTCTTGACACAATCGTGGTCTGAGTCTTGTTTCCTCCCCCTCTGGACCGGCAGGGTTATCCCGGTCCCCGCTGGGGTTGCAAACACAGCTCCTGCAAGACCTGAGTGAGTAGCAACGCTCCTGATCCAAGACTTGGCTACACAAAATGGCCGACGCACATGGTCCGGCCCTGAAGGGCCAACAGCACCCGACTCACTCACCTCTGGCGTCCAAGGCCGCACTGGATGCCGTCTTCAAGCTCTTCTGGGTCGAAACTGGAGGCCCACTAGAGAAAGGCGGCACTGACTGCATGAGCAGCATGGGTGACTCGGAGGTGGCATGGAGAGGAGCGTAGAGGCCCCAGAGAGCCACTATATGCTGTCGTCGGAGACCCTTGCACCGCTTCCCACATGGGAGGAAAGGGGATGCTCTGCACCCGCAGCCCTGTAGGGAAAAACGTGGAGAATCGCTCTGGCCGAACACCTTTTGCAAAGGACTGGCAAACGCTTGTAAGTGCCTACCGAACGATCCACTGCACAAGAGCATTCCACTGAAGCTGCACCTCTAAATTGAGCTGACATATCAGGCCTCCAGGGTGAGCATCGGCTGACAGACGTGAACACCACGGGGGCTTACACAACTCACCGTTGTTATGACGCACTGCCGGAACGCACAACTCGTGGCTAATGCCTCCAAGTTACATTTTTTATACAATTTTTATCGTTATTGTGGTCGATAATAGGCATGCTAGTTCACCCAGTGTCTTAAGACCTGTTTTTATTACATACGCCGACACTGGGAATAATACCCAGCAGCTACTAAACTACAGAATTACCATAGTTTAGCATGTTACCTTACCTTCTTCTCTTTGATTACATTAATTGCAGCTTATGCGGTATGTCTTAATTAATTCTCTTGCCTTCACAATATATGACATTGCTTACATTATCCTGTTTATTACTAAAAATGTGCAGTTCAACCACATGCCACAGTATTATGCCTTTTGAAATGCCTGTGTCAGCTGTTGTGGCATCACAAGCTTGTCTGTCATACTTATGCAAAACAAAAAGTAAAGAATTAAAAAAAACAACAACAACAAAAAACACAGAGGTGTGTTTCATGTATTCTTGTATGTGTTTGAATGCAGTGTATTTGTGTGCAGTGTGAATGCTTAGATGTATGCACATACACACACAGACACTGAAGATACACAGATATACACACTGACACAAAAGCAGATATACAGACACATATACACACAATGACACACATAAAGATACAGTCACATAGACTGACACACAGATACACAACCTGACACACATGCAGATACACAGACACACACAAATATACACACTGACACAAACACACAGATACACATACTGATACCATACAGATACACAGATGAACATACTGACAACATACAGATATACAGAAACACACAATGACAACACATACAGACACACAGATATGCATCCTGACACATGCAAATACACATACACACAGATACAAACACTGACACACATATACACACACTGATCCACTTGCAGATACAAAGATACACACACTACATACAGATACACACACACACACACATATATATATATATATATATATATATAAACATTGACACATACAAACTCAGATACACACAATGACAACATATGGATACACACAGTTACACAGACATACTAGACAGACATACTTACACAGACACATACACTGACAGACATACTGACACATACATAGACAGACAGACATACTGAGACACGCACAATCATGCTGACACATTCACCGACACACAGACATGCACATACACACTGACAGACATACAGACACATACACTGACAGACATACTGACACACACACTGACAGAGAAACTGACATACAAAGATATACTGACAGTCATTTACAGACCCACACTGACACACACATATACGCACCCAAACTGATATATATATGGACTCTCACACACACGCAAAATTTACACTTTTAAACCCACCCTCCAGTTTCCTAACTTGGAGGGTGGCTTCCCCTGTGTCCAGACTGGTGGCTGATGCTGTTGGGAGTTGGGGTCTGGCTCTTCTGGCCCAGCCTCCCTCCTCTCTGCCTCCTCTGTCACTACCGTGCAGCTCCTCTCCTTGTGGAAGGAAGTGACTCGCGGGCTGCCAAAAAGCAAGAGGTCACGGTCGCGCTGTTAAAGTGCTGATACACGCCCACTGGGTGGTCCTTACTCCATTGGTCAATCGGTAAGCTTCCCGAGCAGTACCGGAGGGCCCATGGGGTGGTGTTTGCTAAAGAGTCAATTATTTTCTCTTCTTTTGTGTGTGAATCTCATGACCTATAAAATAGAGTATGGGGCGGTGTTTGCTAAAGTATTTTCTCTTCTTTTGTGTGTGCATCTCACGACCTAGAAAATAGAGCTGCAGGGTCCAAGGAGAAGATAAAGACTTAGCTCACTCAATAAAACCAGTAGCCAAGGGTTTTGTCCCAAACTTGTATGGTAACCAGTGAACACATAATCAATTTGTATCCCATAGTACAGATAGAGAATGATCCTACATTAAGACGTAATGTCAAAGTCCTTGCAAATGCGTAACTAAAAAGTCACCATTATGTTTTTGTTGCTTCTGTAGCCTTTTTTTGGTATAGCTATAAAGACTATAACAAATATAATTATTATGGTGTAATCAGATTGATATTCTCAGCTCCAACTGTACACCTAGCAGTTAGGATATATTATATTATAAAATGAAGGCAGTCTAAGAAATTTTGAACCCTGATAATTGAACTCTTATAGTCAAAGCACCAGAAAAAGGTGTAAAAATATAACACCATGCACTGTCTGTGCTACAAATATTTAGATTTATTTTTCCTTATGTCCTCCTGTATATCAATTATTATACTCTTTCCCTCTTGCCGTTTGCATTCATTTATATTTATTTCTTTTTCTTCCTGGTGCCACATCTCAGTATCTGGGAGCAGCCATTTTGTTCTCCTCTGTCCATAATGTCTGCTGTTTGCCCTTCTGTGAGATTGATTTTACTGTTGGATTGTGGGTAAATCTGATTGGCAACTGAAACAGAACCTTGCTTAAACTCCGCCCATTGTCAAGCTTTGTCAACTTGATTGCTATATATAAGGAAAAACAGTCACAACTTTTCTTTAGCTATCAGAGGGCAAAAAAAATAAAAAGAGACCCAGACAAAGGATGCTATATAGAAGCAGATTAGCTATACAGTAGTTAATTTTTCATGAGAGAGTCAATTTAACAGAACATTTTTCTGTTTCTGTTCCATAAAATGTGTGTAGGTTAATGTGTGTATTATTTTTCCACTTATGTTTTACTCTGCCAAATGCCAGCATATATGCTGTAGAAAGTTTATTGGCATTCTAATTCTGAATCTGGTCGTTTGTCTAAAAGAAAGCAAACAAGCAAGACCAGAACAAATCTAAATTTGCATTTAGGTTACCAGATGGGTAAGTAACCTAGGTGGATACCTCGTTTGTCCTGTTACATTTTGTTATTGCATTTTGTGCAATTAATCAGCAGTAAGCAATGTTTGTTGGGAGTGTTTGCACATTTTTCAATTATCAGCAGCCTGTCTCATTTAATCCACATCTTATTATGTCTACATAAGAGCGGTAATGCGGGACAGTGCAAAGTACATCATGAAATGAAAAGGCGGTGGTTACAGAAACAAAAAAAAAACATAAACTGTAAATTGTTCACACCCATTGTAATAGATAAAAAAAAAAAAACTCTGTCCACCAACAATAATCTTCACCAACATGTCTTTCTTGACCTTAAAACCCAAAGCCATTGTACCTACCTACACCAATTGATCAACTTAGCTTCCTGGAATATTAGTGGTAACACTTTTTCATTGGATGCCCTGGCCATTCTATCAATTTCACAGTTTTCATATGTTGGACCTCATATCCACATGTCTAGATACTGGAACAATCCTTCCCTGCTTTATTCTTTGATTCGCTGCCAGGAGGGAATGAGCCATTCTCATAAAACATCTTTCGGTCTCATCTAAAGACTGCCTGATGGAATATTTGATTGTAGCAGCTTATAATAAAGTTATAGAGTTTAGGATAAATATAAAGAGGAAATCGGCCCATCCAATAATAGAATGTGCACAAAAAAACAAACTTATTGGTCCATTGCAAGGGATAGTCACGCCATTATATTATGATCTCAGTTATTCTACAATCAATCCCACCCAAATAATAATAATATATATATATAAATATATATATATATATATATATATATATATTTCGGTGTAATAATATATAAATAGGATATGGGAAAATGTGTGTTGGTATACAGTAGCAGGCCACATGACTTTGCCATAATACCAAGAAAAATATTTATGCACAAAATTTCCAAGCTTGTCTTTAACCCTGGATATTGGTGAAGTTCATCTTGCCTTCACTTCTGTTTGGCTTTGATGCCCAAAACCTGGTGCAACCAGACACGTTCTATCAGTGCATATATTTAAAATATTAGTATTGGAGAAGCATTCCATACAAAGGTTGTGTAAATTTCCAATTTTTATGGAGTGCTCTGCAAGACGTAAAGTGTGATTTACTTTCATCTTTTTTTTCTTGGGAGGGGACGGATATTGGGCCAGAGAGGTTTGTGAAAGGTTTACTGAGCCATACCTTCAAGTATTACAAATCAGCTCACTACTGATTATATATCTGCCATATTAATGATTTTGGTAGTTAATCCATCATTTTCAATTTGTGTGACCTCAATGACCTTCAATAGTCACTGCTAGTTTGTGTTATATAAATAGCATGGCAGAAATTCCCTAGTGATAGTTATTCTGTTTACCAGTCATGTATAAACTAGTCTGTGTTGTGCCTAACTGCAATATTATACTGTTAAATAATGATACATTTTCTCCTGCACTCACTACCTTCCAGGTTGGTCTACAAATCAATTGATAATCCATCAATCATGCAGGGGAAAAGCACTGTGTGCTTGGAAGAGTTCCAAAATGTTTCTAAACACTTCAACATTAAACCGGGGGACAGCGCCAAGACACTGTACACGAGGTGACCACTACAGTGAGATGTAGAGATTATGTTGCTTAGGGTGTCCCGTCAAGAGGTATGCTAACTTATAAGAACATGGGTATTTATCAAACACTCAATTGTATTGGTGTGCTAATGTACAGCATTAAACTGTGTTTTAAGAATAAGAATTAATTCTGCGTGTAGTGACTTTGTGTTTATAAAGTAAAACATCCAGTTCAGAATTGCAACATACAGGATGGTTTGAAGTTTACATACAAGTTCTGCTGGTTTAGGATAGGGTGGTACCCTCCTGGCATACACACTAAGTGTGGGTTGCAACTAATATATATAAGGAGAGCTCACACCTAGGCTATCACTGTACTCCGGTCTTTTGTTACAGCCATTTCAATTAGGTAAGTAATTACAAATAAATTTACTAGACTAAACCAGAATACAGGTATACACCACAGCAGCGGTACTCTAGTTATGGTCCATCTATGGATGATACACAAGGTTTATATGAAGAGATATGCGAGTAACAGTGAAATGTGTTGGTATTTTAGTTTTTTTTTAAAATGTAAGCTTTGATGTCATTCTTTCTGGTCGCTCCAGAAGGGTTAAACATGATATGTTTAGTAAACTCTCAACGCCGTCACAAATGTGCAGGATTATTTTCCAAATTGTGAATTGAATTTATTTATAGATACTGCATTTATTGATTTATTTTTTTTTGCTTGTGAGGCAGTGACCTTTTATGACTCAGATAAATATACATCTGAATTATATATATTTGTGGAAAATCCTAGAATATGATCAGAAATAACAATTCAGGCACACATTTGGAGTTTAACCCTAAATGTGCTATTTCATTTCAATGCAATTCAATGTCAATCAAATGTGTCTGAATTTCATACAAAGTCATAGTAATTCACGTGTTTTTCAAACTCAATTAACATAGTGATTCACCAATATGAATTACATGTGAATTACATATTCTAAGTGAAAATAGTGAAAAAAAAAATGACAATCTTTTAAATTGGATTATATGTTGGGCTAATGGGTGGGTTACTGTAAAAATAGGGCTGGCAAGTGGGGCTAATAAAATAATCGTATCAGCTCTGTGATACAATTGTCCAGTGTCCCCTCTATCCTCTTGCCTGATGTTCCTTAGGTAAAGGATTAAATAATAATTTAAACATGTTCCAATGCACTCTACTATCTATTTAGTTTCTCACCCACGGTATATTAACTTAGAAAATGGGAGACATTTTAGCAGATGCCCTTTAGTTGATTGGAAGTTAACTGGATCTAAGCAGTTATTTAACCCCTTAACCCTTTAAGGACCAACCTTCTGGAATAAAAGGGAATCATGACATGTCACACATGTCATGTGTCCTTAAGGGGTTAATTAGCCCCAATTCTTATTATGTTTCAGGCACCTTAACTGGCACACTTTTATCCTTTGATTTGAGGAAATGGTGGGGAATTGATAGGGAGTCTGGGGAAATCTTTTAAAATGTATTTATTTCATTATGTTGAATGGGAAGCCAGCATTTTTCAATGTGTTCATCATTTAGGAATTATTCAAGATTTACGTGAGCTTGTTGACCCCATCTCGGGGTTATTTTGGATTTCAAAAAGGAACTCATTTGTTCAGGTGTTGCAGTATAATAGAAAACAGGAAAAATGCTTGAGAAAGACCTCTTAGCTGGTCGAAACGTTGCTGCAGCTTGATAAAGACCTCTTAGCTGGTCGAAACGTTGTTGCAGCTTGATAAAGACCTCTTAGCTGGTCGAAACGTTGCTGCATCTTTTTTTTTTTATCCAATAAATCTGCCTGTGGCTTTAATTCCGTGAGTGCCTGAAGATTATACGTGTTTTGGATTTGCTGGTCCTACTTCAGTGCACCTGGAGCTTAGCGGATTTGAGTACGGTTCCTTATTTCTATTTTACAAGTGTTGCAGTATCTGAAATGAAGTTCATTAGTGTCAATTAGAAACCCAGCATTATTCAGAATTTGTGACAATTGCTTGGAGATGGACTGTCTCTTTTGTGTTTTTTTTTTAGAGAGGCTGATAACATCTTTTTAACATGTATCTAGGCATGATTCCTCAGTGGCACAGAAAGTTCCACAGACCCTCGTTTTATACTCCATGTAGATTCTGAGGTTCTGTATATAAAAAAATGCAAAGATCCCACAAGTAGCAGTGCTGCTTACATTATTGAGCAAAAATCATTGTGAAGAAAAAAATAAATTATTGGTGTGTTTAAGACATCTTATATAGGCCTTAGTTTAATATTATTGAATACACTTGTTAAATGATTTAATACCTTAATATAATACTTAATATTTTGAAGAAAATTCATTTTAAAAGGTTATCCAGAAATATTAAAGGATCACTATAGTGTCAGGAAAACAAAGCAGTTTTCCTGACACTATGGTGCCCTGAGAGTGCCCCCACCCTCAGGGTCCCCCTCCCGTGGCTTACCTCAATCCAGCTCCCTCGGCGCTGGTGACCTCTCCTCCCCGTCCGATGTCAGCTCCCCCGTCAGACGTCACTGGAGCCGAATGCGCATGCGCGGCAAGTGCCATGCGCGCATTCAAAGTGTCCATAGGAAAGCATTTCTCAATGCTTTCCTATGGACGCTCTGTGCAATGGAGGCATAATATGCCTCCAGCGTTGCAGATGCGCCTCTAGTGGCTTAAAGCCCAATGTAAACATAGCAGTTTCTCTGAAACTGCTATGTTTGCATCTGAAGGGTTAAAACCTGAGGGACCTGGCACCCAGACCACTTCATTGAGCTGAAGTTGTCTGGGTGACTATAGTGTCCCTTTAACCCCTTAAGGACACATGACATGTGTGACATGTCATGATTCCCTTTTATTCCAGAAGTTTGGTCCTTAAGGGGTTAAATCATTTGAAAATCTTATAGAAACAGTATAGAAATAAACTTTTTTTTTTTTTTTTTTTTTTATCCAAAAGGTGCTGGATTTCAAACCTATTAGTAACAATGTGCAACAATCTTCTGGATGCTGCAGCAATCATTAAAAAAGAGTTCTATGACAACTGCAATAAAGAGGGGATATTAATAGGTGATGCAGTGGAAAGTTTGATTATGAAAAATTTTGGAGCAGTGATAAAGGTTAGTGATAAACAGCTGGGGATAAAATGTCTTTAAGTTGTGCTAACATGTTTCAGCATTTCTAATGAAGTACAGAGTTTTAAAATAATTGCATTGTTCTCTACAAAGTTTGTTTCCTATATACCATATTTAGATTACACATACACACTGTTTAAAGTGGCACTGCCCCTCACCTCCTCTACTGAAAAACAAGTATTTTATAAAGATAGAATAATACTCATTTTGACTGTGTTGGAATTTCACTGAAATGCCAACACAGCCTTGAGATATACAGAAACTAAGTAGTTTGCCTTTGTACATTTCTCAATGTGGGTGGAGTGGCATTTAGCTATGTGTCTGGCCAGCCCCTTTACACACTGGAATTACCTTACATGGTTTAGGTGTTCCACACAGTTTATATCCCGAGCCAGCATTTGACGACTTACTAGACTTGTGCATTCTTTTCATACGAAAACGATTTTGTCCGAATTTTCTGACTTTTTCGTATTCGTTTACCATAACATAAATGAAAGTCCTACATACGAATTATAAACGAAACGAAAGGGCAAATATGGAATGCATTCGTTTTCGTTTCAGTTCTTTGGTTTAATAGACTAACACTGTGCATAAGCACAAAAAAAAAAAAAAAGAAACCAGGGAGCCGGCAGCGCTACCAGCTCCCTCCTTGCAATAAAAATTAACCATCCCTACCTGCCCCCCCCCAGCATTAAAACCTATGGGGGCCACTATGACCCCCATATTAATAAAAGGGAGGTTAAATCTTCCCGCATGCCCATACTCGCATTATTTATTTATTTAGGGTCCCCACCTGCCGCTCATTAGTGGGGACCACATGGGTGGGGACCAGGGGGGACATTAGGTCCCTCGCTTTAATTAATTAGGGTCCCCACCCGCCGCTCATGGGTGGAGACCAGGGGGACATTAGTCCCCTCCCTTATTTAATTAAGGTCCCCACCAGCCACTCATGGGTGGGGACCCGTTTAATTAATTTTGTCCCTACCCACGTCACGGGGGGGTCAAGGGTGAGACACAAGGTTCCCACGTTTATTTTTAGTTATTTAGCCTCCCCCAAATAGCTGCCGAGTCACTAGTAGTTTTAAATGACAGCGAGCAGCCACTGGCATGCCGAGAGTAGGGGTATGTGGGAGGATTTAACCTCCCTTTTTTAAATCTGGGGATAATAGTAACCCCCATACTGATTTATATCTAGTTTTATGACAGCAGACAGCCACTGGCTGTTCGCTGTTTAGGCTACATGACCCGAGTAGGGGCATGCAGGAGAATTTAACCTCCCTTTTATTAATATGAGGACAAAGTGATCCCCATAGGTTTTAATGCAGGGTGGTAGGAATGATTAATATTTATTACAGTGAGGAATCTGGTAGCACTGATGGCTCCCTCCTGGCTTTTTATTTATTTTTTTGCGCATGCGCGGTGCTATTTTCATCCTGATGGAGGAAAAATACATTCTTACCGAATTTCGTTCGAAAAATTAATGGTTTACGGACGAAATTCAGAATGGAAGAATTACATTTTTATTTAGTACGAAATCATTTGTACGAAATGAAAATTTCACTGGTGCACATGTCTTGGACTTACCACTGCCTCCTTTTGCTTGGACCGCTCCATAATTTTCACATAAATGCTAGAAAATGTATAGATTTTTAGGGACACTCTGCATGGGGACGCTGAATTTTCCCCATAGAGATGCATTGATTCAATGCATCTCTATGACGTGGTTCTGATAGGCCAAAACTGCATTTGGCACCGCCCCCTTGCAATTTTAGCCAATCCAATGCTTTCCCATAATCGGAAGTTCTGATGATATCACCAAGGGGGCGGGGAAAACTTGGGCAGACCTGCATTGCGCATTGGAAATAAGGTGTGTTTTATTCCTTTTAGGGGGGCTAAGGAGGGGACAAGCCACCTAAATGGTGGGTCCAGCACCATAGGGTCAGGAATACATATTTGTGTTCCTGACCCTATAGTGCTCCTCTAAAGCTCTTTAAAATGTTAGCCCCTCCCCCACCTGTAAATTAGCTCAATATATATAGGTATATACCCATCTGGTGGCATAGAGTTCTAGGGCATGGACTAAATGACAAGAGAGTCCAGGCTAAACCTGATCCAGGTAATTCTCCTGTTGATACCTGTGACAAATCTGTGAGAAATGCTTGCTGGGATGTAAAATTCTATGGGAAAGACTAAATGAGAGAGGAAAGGTGAAGAACCCTCTTTTAAGTGGTTCTCCTGCTGTCCATCACAGGTTTTCCTATGGGAAATCCACAAGGAACACTAGGGGAATATAATAATGGAGTGAGTGACTGAAGAGCCATTAGCATTTCAGTGCCATCATTAAGGATTGTCCTGCTTTTAAAGTTAAAAACATTTTTTTTTAAATTTGTTCTATCTATAACACATTTATTAAAGGATGCTGAAACCACACTGCTGTGTTCTTTTCATATACTCTTTTTTAAAATTACAGTTATAAGTAAATTCAGTGAGATAAGCTTGCAATCTCTAATTTACTATTAATAGGTGTGTTCCCTGAGAAGGTTAAAGTAAATATTTATTTGATGGAAAGGTAAACAGTGAAGAGATTATTCAATTTGGCAGCCTTTTAGCAGAGCACTGGCATACACAGATCACCCATGACTGCCCCAACCTTGGCTGATCATTTTAAGCCATTAGTACTCTATCACTTCTCTCCTTTTACTAAATGACTAATTTATTTTCCCGGGTACTTGAAGTGTATTAGTCATGGTACACATAAGTTTGCCAAGTTTAAAAGTAAATTACATTCCATCTATACATTGTGTTAGTAGAATTGCTAACACATGTATAGATAAGGAGTACAACCTTTTTAAAAATAGGGTTCTCCCACAGCTGTCAGTCAACTCTTCAGCATAGCCAGCATGGACCTCTATGCTGTAGCATCTGTAACCTATAAAACACTCCCTTTTCATCGGTAATACCTGCATTTAACCTGACACTACAATACAGGCAATTGTTAAAAGCAACTGAGAGGCAAAAATGAAAAGATTAGCACCATAACAGCAAAGCTTTTCTCTAAACTGATCGATGGTAGAACGTGTAAACTATGCAAATTCATACATGTGATCACATGACCTAAAAGTGAACCTGATATTTTTATTCATTTTATTTATTTTTTATGTATTTGCAGGCTCCAAAGTACCCAGAGGTAATTCAGGAATTGTTGGCCAAGATTGAACCCTACAAAAAAAATGGAGGAAATAAGGATACATATATAGATCTTTTATGTATTACCTTTAAGTATTACTGTGACGGAAAACTTGAGGTTGCAGATAGCTGAACAAGGTTACTTTTCTCTTGTTTTGATGCAAACAGTTGTCATAATGAGATGTAAGAAGGAATCAGGTAACCTACATTAAGTGGTGAACTAATCTTCCATGAAATAATTCATTCGTTAAATAAATAAATAAATAAATCTATTTCATGCTTGTTTGTCAGTTTCTGATGAACTACTGCTTTCTAGTAAACCATAATGGAAAATATAAATAGATAAACACACAGGTAAGTTAAGGACTGAAACATATGTGGTTTTGCTGCTCCCTGGGTTTGTGGCTAAAGTAACTTTCTTATGTAGTATGGCACTGCCACTTGTGAAGCATTTCCATTGGCTGTCCACCTAGGCAGGAAATATTCCCTTTGCCAGCTCCTTCTTTCAGGCAGGTATTGAACCCTCGGCCTTCTCCCTCTTAAAGGCAGATATTGATCCACTGCCTGCGCTGCCTGCAAATACTGCCTTCACAAAGACTGTTGCAGTTCACAGGCCTAGCTTTGACACTGTCTTTACAAAGACACTTCTGCCTTTCAGGCCACCTCTTTGCATATAAGCTCCTGATATCAGGGATCAGTGCAGTTAAAAAGCAGGTTCTATAACTCTGTTACTGGAATCCCTGAAAGAACCAAGCAATAGACACAGCATTGAATGGAATTGCCACATAATACTTTTTTTCCATCCAGGACTAACTTCTTTCATATGGGGAATCATACAGGTGACCACATAGCACAATAAAATATAACTGTGCAGGGGGGGGGGGGGAATTAAATGAACATCGCAGTCTAGCAGGAAGTGCTAACTGAGAGTAATGGAAGCTTCCTGTCAGACCGGGTAAAGAATACAGAAGATCTTCTAGCGAGGTCTGCCCGACCCGGCTACATGGAGGGAGGTATACAAGGTATAGGATAGGGGGAGTAATCACAAAGAGAGGGGTGTGTGGAAGAGACCACAAAGTGATGGGGGAGTAGAAGAGACACACAGGTGTCTAGTGCTGGGTGGAGACACATAGAGGGGCTGGAGGAGACACATAGATGGGCTGGAGGTAGAATGAGACACACAGAGTAGTTGTAAATGAGAGACACATGTATGGGCTGTGGGGGAGAAAAAGACAAACCAAACAGAAGGGCTATGCAAGGGGGATAAACAAACAGAGGGGCTGGGGGAAACGTACACACACACAGAGGGACTTTGCCCAGACCCTCTGTGTATGTCATTGTCCTCTTCCCTAATCCTGGAACTATCTCTATGCCCTCTTCCCGAGCCTCTCTGTATGTGTCATTGTTCCCTTTCCCAGCCCTTCTATGTATGTCATTATACCCTACAGCAGTTTTTTGTTTGTTTGTCTTTTTCTCTTTCCCCTTATTCTCTTGCTCACTACCCCTGTCTAATGTTGCCAAGCAAACCGTTAGTAGAGGATGTTCTGTATCCTCTACCCAGTCTGACAAGAAGCTGTTCATTTCTCCCAGCAAGCACTTACTGTCAGACCCGGCAGAAAATACAGAAGATCCTCTACCTGCGGTCTGTGCGGCCACATTACTAGAAGTTACTGGCAGGAACACAAATGTGAGAGTGCAGGTGGTGTAATGTGTGTGTTTAAAGGGGTATAGAGGGTGTGTAGCAGTATGAGTGCAGTTGGTGTAATGTGTGTGTTTTTAGGAGTATAGAGTGTGTGTAAAAGTGTGAGTGCAGGTGGTGTAATGTGTGTGTTTAAAGGGGTATAGAGTGTGTGTAGCAGTGTGAGTGCAGTTGGTGTAATGTGTGTGTTTTTAGGAGTATTGAGTGTGTGTAAAAGTGTGAGTGCAGGTGGTGTAATGTGTGTGTTTAAAGGGGTATATAGTATGTGTAGAAGTGTGTGTGCAGGTGGTGTAATGTGTGTGTTTATAGGGGCTATAGAGTGTGTGTAAAAGTGTGAGCGTGAAGGTGGTGTATTGTGTGTGTTTATAGGGGCTATAGAGTGTGTGTAAAAGTGTGAGAGTGAAGGTGGTGTATTGTGTGTGTTTATAGGGGCTATAGAGTGTGTGTAGAAGTGTGAGTGCAGTTGATGTATTGTGTGTGTTTATAGGGGTATAGAGTGTGTGTAAAAGTGTGAGAGTGAAGGTGGTATATTGTGTGTGCTTGTAGGGGTATAGTGTGTGTGTAAAAGTGTGAGAGTGAAGGTGGTGTCATGTGTATGTTTATAGGGGTATAGAGTGTGTGTAAAAGTGTGAGAGTGAAGGGGGTGTGATGTGTGTGTTTATATGGAGTAAAGAGTGTGTGAGTGCAGGGAGTGTAGTGTATGTTTAGGTGGTATAGAGTTTGTGTACTGTAACAGGATTTCCTGCATAGAACTCTGTTTCAAATAATATTGGGGGAGAGGAGAGACAGGGGCCCAAAAAACAATTTGGGTCCTGCAAATGCCATATATAGCCCTGAGCACCACTCAGATGTGAAAGATCAGATATGCCTTTTGGAAATGGCCAAATTAGAATTTTATTTCACACTCTTAGAGAGTTGCTGTAGCGTGACCTTTAATGAATAGACCGCCCCCTGGTGTGATCGAAAACAACAGGATGCTGAGTATTAGCAAATAGTACTTCCAGGATAAAATCAAAGAATGTTAGCAGGAAGGTTACGTTATTTTACTTTGATTGTTTATGGTTACTGTTTTTGTCTTATTCTATTTTTATTAGGCAGATCGTAAGGTTTACAGAGGTATATAGACATTCATTTCAACTTCCAGAGACATTCCTTAAACTCACACAAACTCAGAGTAAGATAACAGCAGTGATCCTATTTTATAATCGAAGATGCATGAATAAATAGAGAATATCATTAGCCTCACAGTAATAACATTGACTATCAATGGGAGAGGTACAACAAGGCGTCCAAGGTTATCAGAAAACCGGGAGAGGAGTATAGTGCCGACTATAGTAATAGAAACGTGACCCTCCAAATACAGCTTTTACAGCTCATGAATTAAAGTAACAGGGCTACTAACTTCATCCAGAGACATAAACTGGGTGATGCTCGGTGCTCCTCTGGCATAGCCCTAGCGGGAGCAGGCCAAGTGTCCGCAGAGAAGTAAAAGCTTTTGGTTGACCTCATCTTCAGTAACAAACAGGCTTCAAGGGGATTACCCTCTACAAGTAACATGTATATCTTGGAGCCAGTGATAAGTTGTTATGGTGCTCATATTGTCCCTATAACAAAGAAATAGGAGGACTCAGAGATTTATAGCCATGTTGTGCAGTAATTACTGCTGATGACTAATGCACTTACATGACGGTAATGAAGTTTATGCACATCTTTCCATTCCTGTACAGATAACATGGCATCCCTCAACTAATCATTCTGTGCCTGTATATATTTAGTGGTCTCTGACTGCACATTGCTGCTTGTATTGGTCACACAGTTACCATCATATTCCTGCAATGTTCTCACATGTAACTATGCTATTTCTGGATTGATGACACACACATTTCTTTGCTGATCTTAACACATACAATACACACACCCTTCACAGTACCATGTTCAAAGCACATGCATTCTAAAGGACCCTACATGAGTACCATGTAGAAAAAACACAAACACTTTATTAACCCTAGATTATTTGAGCTACCCATGGACACTGGGTGGGAATGAAAATGCGTGCACAGGTAAAAATAGTTTGAGTTTTTCCAGTCTGGGTACCTAGATGATCAGACAAACCAGTGCAGGAGAAAAGTTTTAATCAAAACTGCATACAGCAATGTCCACATACGTCTGACGCATTTCAGCCAAGAATGCATTTAATCATACACAGACAATGCCGGAGGAATGTACACCTTAAAAAAAGAAAAAACAGGTCAAATCAGATCAACCAACTGAACAAGCTTTAAAAAAAATGCTCCTAATCAAGGTGATAGTGCCAATTGTGCTGTTAACCCTAAAAGAAACACTATATCGTTCGGAAGAAAAGGGCGTGTTTCTTTGCTAACAATTTTTAGTGTGTGCTACCCCCTTCCCCTCACTGTCAGAATAAAATCAGAAGCACTTTTACTTACCTTTCTTCCCCTGCGTGCTGTTCTGCATTGCACCCATCTACCTGGCTGAGGAACCTCTGTTTATCTTAAATCATCTGTAGTATGGCAATCTGCTTGCCTATTTCTTTGATATATGCTGCCTAACAACAAGTTTGGACCATATTACAATTTACTCTGCAATCCTGGAGCAGCCCCTGTAGTCACTCCTATTACACAGGTGATGGTTAAATATTTTGTTGTCCCTGACAGAGTGGTTTTACAAGGGTGTGTACCATTTAATATTTCAACTAACGCTGGAAGAGAAAAATGACAAAAGTACTGCTTAAAAAAGATATATGGTCTACTAGGCGGTGTGACATCATTCACATATCAACTTCGTGCAATATATATCAGGCAAGTCACAATGTTTGTATAGTGAAAATGGTTTTGATACCTTTAAGATGACATCTGAAAAAAAGGGGAAAAAAATGGCAAGATTTAAATTACCAAGTGTAAGTAAGCAATCATTGTATGCAATAAACATACCAGTCTAAAGAAGAAAAAATAGATTTCAAAAAAATTATTAAGTGATATTTTTTCCTTTAAATATTTTTTATAAAACGTATTTGAAAAGAATATGTATAATGCTGTTATCCAAATGATGGGACCTGTTAACATAGGTAGAAATATATTTTGTCATTGACCAATATTTTCTATTTATTTTTGGGCCCACTTACACTGTGGAAATTAGTAAACTATGTAAGCACAAATGCACTGTAAAGGTTGCCCTGGATTAGGGTCATTTGTTTAAACAATAGTACACCAGTACACCAAACTCAGAAATGATCTGCAACTAATATTCTCAGATACTGTCAGGGAAAATAAATTAATTGAAAAGAGTAATTGTAAAGAAATTCTTTCTGAATGTGACCATTGCTAAATTTAGTATAAACACTTCCCACTTTTTAAGTGAAGCAAGGATAGAGCTTAGAAACCACAGTGTATTCACGGAACAGTTTGCACGAGAAAGAAAACTCCTTACGTGGCATAATGTGGAAAAACGGAAGGCAAATAATAAGAACGCAAGCAATATATGAATAATGTTGGGGAAAAAATATTCTGCTAAAAATGTATGAGGAA